AATCTTTTCGATGGCTGGTTGTTGGGGGTCGTTTCTCTCTCGACTCAGGGTGCGCCGCACACAGGGGAGGGAGACGACAGCGTCGCCGGACCAGAACAACGGCCGCGGCGAGCTCCCTCCCGGGCGCGAGCCCTTCTCTCTATCGCCATCGTGGTCGTGCAGCGACGAGGAGGACAGAGGGGGGGGGGGGGAGGGGCGCGGCGCAAGCAGGCCAGCCAGCCAGCCGGCCGGGACAGGCGGGGCTGCCAAGGCAGTGGGGCACAGGCTCCTTTTCAACCTGCCTCACCCGTGGGCTCCGCAGGAGGAGGGGCGTGGGATTGCCGGGGTTTTTTTTCCTTTCTCGCCGCAAGGGTGTGCACCCGGGATCTAACTCCGCGCTACCGGCGAAACGTGGCCGAGGGGAGAAGAACCGCAGGGGGCTCAGCCGTCGCGAGGGGAAGGCCGCAAAAGGGGGCGGCACTCGGAAACCATTCCGAACGTCAAGAGAGGGGCGGTCGCCTGTGTGAAGGGCAGGACCACAGCCGACATTGGCGGGGGTGGCACGGGGACTGGTTACCCCGGCGGCCCCCGGTCGGCATCGTGGCGCGAGCCCCGCCTTTGCTGTGCCAGGTTCGGGGGAGAGGGAAATTCGGGGAAGGGACCGACGCCCGAGCTTACCAAGAGCACAGGACGGAGCCCAAAACCCCAAAAGACACCACACCCCCGGACGTAAGAACAGGGACAAAAGAGCAGAGCAGCAAGGGACAGAAGGGAAAGCAGCAGGGAGAGCGCCGCAACGGTGAGGGAGGGAAGAGATGCGGCCATGGGTGTCCCCCTATAGTTGTCGGCGCGGTCCCTCAGCCAACACGACCGCAAACAGGGCCCCCTCCTGCGCCACGCCCAGGGAGAGGACGCCCTCCGCACGCCCCACCACCCACGCCCCGGTAAAAGCCTCACTTTCTCGCGGGTGGAGGGCGGGGAGCAACGGGCCCCCAGCCGCCAACCCCGCTGCACCGCCTCTTGCCCCCGCCCGCCGGCCGGCCCCGAGGGCGGCCTGCTCGGGCCGGCTCCGGACCCGAGGGGGACCCGCGCCCGCCTAGACCGCGTTCCAGCCCAGCCCAGCACGCTCGGCAGGGGGTGGGGAGAGGGCCGCGCGTTGGCGGGCCAGGGCAGCGGGGATGTCGCGGCCACGGCTTGCCGCCGCCGCCGCCCGCCGACACCCAAATGAAGGTGGACCACCCTGTAGTTGTCGGCGCGGGCCGACTCAGCCCACACGACCGCGGGGCAGGGGCCGTTCGGCCCCGGGGGCCAGGGAAGGCAGCCCCTCCGACGGCCCCGGCAGCCAGGCCTCCCTGGCTGCCGGGTTTTTTTCCTTTCTCGCCGCAAGGGTGTGCACACCCGGGATCTAACTCCGCGCTACCGGCGAAACGTGGCCGAGGGGAGAAGAACCGCAGGGGGCTCAGCCGTCGCGAGGGGAAGGCCGCAAAAGGGGGGCGGCACTCGGAAACCATTCCGAACGTCAAGAGAGGGGCGGTCGCCTGTGTGAAGGGCAGGACCACAGCCGACATTGGCGGGGGTGGCACGGGGACTGGTTACCCCGGCGGCCCCCGGTCGGCATCGTGGCGCGAGCCCGCGACCTTTGCTGTGCCAGGTTCGGGGGAGAGGGAAATTCGGGGAAGGGACCGACGCCCGAGCTTACCAAGAGCACAGGACGGAGCCCAAAACCCCAAAAGACACCACACCCCCGGACGTAAGAACAGGGACAAAAGAGCAGAGCAGCAAGGGACAGAAGGGAAAGCAGCAGGGAGAGCGCCGCAACGGTGAGGGAGGGAAGAGATGCGGCCATGGGTGTCCCCCTATAGTTGTCGGCGCGGTCCCTCAGCCAACACGACCGCAAACAGGGCCCCCTCCTGCGCCACGCCCAGGGAGGGGACGCCCTCCGCACGCCCCACCACCCACGCCCCGGTAAAAGCCTCACTTTCTCGCGGGTGGAGGGCGGGGAGCAACGGGCCCCAGCCGCCAACCCCGCTGCACCGCCTCTTGCCCCCGCCCGCCACGCTCGCCGGCCGGCCCCGAGGGCGGCCTGCTCGGGCCGGCTCCGGACCCGAGGGGGACCCGCGCCCGCCTAGACCGCGTTCCAGCCCAGCCCAGCACGCTCGGCAGGGGGTGGGGAGAGGGCCGCGCGTTGGCGGGCCAGGGCAGCGGGGATGTCGCGGCCACGGCTTGCCGCCGCCGCCGCCCGCCGACACCCAAATGAAGGTGGACCACCCTGTAGTTGTCGGCGCGGGCCGACTCAGCCCACACGACCGCGGGGCAGGGGCCGTTCGGCCCCGGGGGCCAGGGAAGGCAGCCCCTCCGACGGCCCCGGCAGCCAGGCCTCCCCCAAAGCCTGCCCCGCTTTCGGGGACGGGAGCCGGAGAGGCAGGGGCTTCCTCACGGCGGCGGGGGCACGCCCGCGCCCGCCGCTGCCGCCTCCGCCCCCGGCCCGAGAGGGCGCAGGGGGCAGGAGAGCCCAAGCCGCCCGCCCGGAGGGCGAGGCCCAACCAGCAGGGGGACCCCGCACCGCCCGTGCAAGGCCCCCGCCCGGCCCCGACGGCGAACTCGACGCGCTCCCGCAGCTGCCGAAGGTGGTCCCCCTATAGTTGTCGGCGCGGGCCCTCAGCCCACACGACCGCGGGCAGGGGCCGCTCGGCCCCGGGGGCCAGGGAAGGTAGCCCCTCCGTCGGCCCCGGCAGCCAGGCCCCCCTCCCAAAGCCTGCCCCGCTTTCGGGGACGGGAGCCGGAGAGGCAGGGGCTTCCTCACGGCGGCGGGGGGCACGCCCGCGCCCGCCGCCGCCGCCTCCGCCCTCGGCCCGAGAGGGCGCAGGGGGCAGGAGAGCCCAAGCCGCCCGCCCGGAGGGCGAGGCCCAACCAGCAGGGGGACCCCGCACCGCCCGTGCAAGGCCCCCGCCCGGCCCCGACGGCGAACTCGACGCGGGGCTTGCCGCCCACCCGCCCGCAGCCGAGGCAGTCCCCCTGTCGTTGTTGGCGCAGGCCCTCAGCCACACACGACCGCGCCCAGGGTCCGCCCTCGCCCGTCCGGCCGGCCGGGGCAACGCCCCGTCAGGGGTGCGGCAGGGCCACGCCCGAATCCCACGCCGCCGCCCTCGGCCCGAGAGGAAGGAAGGAAGCCAAGGAAGACGTGGCTGAACGGCCTCGCTGGGCAGGCCGCCCGCCCGCTCGCTCGCTCAGGCCAGGCGGCGGCACGGGGGAAAGGACCGAGTGGGAGACGCGCGGCCGCCGCCACACAGCAGGCCAGGGGCGGCGCTCGGCTCCGGCGGCCGCGCTCCCAGCCCCGCTCCGCAACCCGCGAACCCCGCACCCAACCGCCTCTCCCTATATTTGGCAGCGCAGGCCCGCAGGCAACACGACCAGAGACAGGGCCGTCCATCCGTCCGGCAGGAGCGGGTGCCTGGCGGGCGCTTGGGGGGACCGCCCGCCCGCCCGCCAACCCCGCTCGCTCGCTCAGGCCAGGCGGCGGCACGGGGGAAAGGACCGAGTGGGAGACGCGCGGCCGCCGCCACACAGCAGGCCAAGGGCAGCGCTCGGCTCCGGCGGCCCGCGCTCCCAGCCCCGCTCCGCCACCCGCGAACCCCGCACCCAACCGCCTCTCCCTATAGTTGCCGGCGCAGGTCCGCAGGCAACACGACCAGAGACAGGGCCTTCCACCCGTCCGGCAGGAGCGGGAGCCTGGCGGGCGCTTGGGGGGGACCGCCAGCCAAGCCAAACGCCCACACCCACACTCGCACTCGCACATACACACACAACCGTACACACACGTGTACACACACACACTTTTTTGACGTCTACGGCAGAAGGAAAAAAATATATTGAAAGGTCGATGGCCTAGCTCATCAGACATTCGGGTTATTAAACTGGAAAAATAGTTCTGGAATTTGAGTCCGTTCTCTAATCTACTTGATTGAGAACTTATTTCTTCTTGGTTTCTGATTCTGTTCAAACTTTTCAATATATGTATTTTTCTTCTTCATTCTATCTACAGCCAGCGTTTTATATTTACACATATTTTTCTTCTTCATTCTATCTACAGCCAGCGTTTTATATTTACACATATATGTATATGAATGTGAATATCTGTATATCTATGTATAACACACACACACACACATACATATATATATATATATATATATATATATATATATATATATATATATATATATATATATATAAAGAATGAAATTGAATACAGGTTAATCGTCAAAAGTGGTGCTTTTTATATCCTTTTTATTTCATCAAGTTTTTTTTTTCTTTCTTTCTTTTTTATGATACCTATTTTTTTCAACGTTCACGATTATATTTTTAGCCATACTTTCCTCAAAGATGACAACAGTTAGCAAAAGGATTTGGAAAAATACTCGGGAATATATGTCATCCTTTGGTGCATCACTTCCGAACAGATGAATATTAAAAAGAACAAGTTAATTTTTGTCATAGAATCAAGGGATTGTTAATCGAAATGTGTGTGTCTTTGTGTGTGTGTGTCTTTGTGTTTGTGTATGTGTGTGTGTTTGTGTGTGAGTTTGTGTGTGTGTATGTGTGTGTTGTGTGTGTGTTTGTTCTTATATGTGTGTGTGTTTGTTTGTTTGTGTTTGCATGTGTGTGTGTTTGTGATTGTACGTGTGTGTGTTTGTGATTGTATGTGTGTGTGTGTGTTTGTATGCATGTGTGCTTGTGTGTAGTGTGTGTTTGTGTTTGTATGTATGTGTGTGTGTGTATTTGTGTTTGTGTGTGTACGAACAAACAGAGAGAAAGAAATAATATTGACAACGGTGCCAACGTGTTAACTGAGTCATACTTTTATTAAATACAAATGTATAGGAAAATAAAATAAAATGATATTTACAATGATACTTGCCAGCTGACATGCGTACATGCAAGTCTGGCTGGCACCAGACTTGCCCTCCACTCGATCCTCGTACAAGGATTTAAAGTGTACTCATTCCAATTGCGAGGCCCCCGGGGCTCGCAACAGTATTTTTCGTCACTACCTCCCCGTGCCGGGAGTGGGTAATTTGCGCGCCTGCTGCCTTCCTTAGATGTGGTAGCCGTTTCTCAGGCTCCCTCTCCGGAATCGAACCCTGATTCCCCGTTACCCGTGATAGCCACTGTAGGCGTTTAACCTACAATCGAGAGCTGATAAGGCAGACGCCTGCAGGACGCGGCGCCGACCCAACCCGGGTTACGGGAGGGGTCGTGCGCTCGGCAAAAGTTATTCTGATTCACCAAGATGTGTGCGGCCTGCCCCTTGCGGGAACCGGCTGCCGAGGGTTTTTGTCTAATAAAAGCGCTCCTCCCTCGCGGTCGGAGACTACAAAGGCATGTATTAGCTCTAGAATTACCACAGTTATCCAAGTATTGCGGTTCAGCAGAGATCCAATGAGTTATATCTGATTTAATGAGCCGTCCGCGGTTTCGCCTTAAGTCGGCCTGTACTTACACATGCATGGCTTAATCTTTGAGACAAGCATATGACTACTGGCAGGATCAACCAGGTAGAAGCAACAACGCACACTAGCGTGGTCGTCGTCATATGAACAACATTAGGAGGAGGAGGACATGGAAGAAGGAGGAGAGGAGAGGGAGACGATAGTAGCTTTCTCGAGCGGGGGGGGGGGGGGCGGCAGCAGCAGCAGCGCTGCCCCATTACGGGGGAGGCACTGCCGCCGCCGCTCTTCCGCTGCGGTCTTGCCTTCCTGCCTGCCTTCCTTCTTCCTCTCACTTCTCTCTCGACCTCTCCGGTTATTGTTACTTTGGCTTTTCACATGGCAAAACCCCCCCGGAAAAGCCCGACGACTCTCGCCCCGCTCTCCCGCTGCGGCCAGAAGCCACACCAGGAAGGGATGGGGATGAAGGAAGGGGGGCATTTCAAATAAAGGGGGGCCGCAATCTTTTCGATGGCTGGTTGTTGGGGGTCGTTTCTCTCTCGACTCAGGGTGCGCCGCACACAGGGGAGGGAGACGACAGCGTCGCCGGACCAGAACAACGGCCGCGGCGAGCTCCCTCCCGGGCGCGAGCCCTTCTCTCTATCGCCATCGTGGTCGTGCAGCGACGAGGAGGACAGAGGGGGGGGGGGGGGAGGGGCGCGGCGCAAGCAGGCCAGCCAGCCAGCCGGCCGGGACAGGCGGGGCTGCCAAGGCAGTGGGGCACAGGCTCCTTTTCAACCTGCCTCACCCGTGGGCTCCGCAGGAGGAGGGGCGTGGGATTGCCGGTTTTTTTCCTTTCTCGCCGCAAGGGTGTGCACACCCGGGATCTAACTCCGCGCTACCGGCGAAACGTGGCCGAGGGGAGAAGAACCGCAGGGGGCTCAGCCGTCGCGAGGGGAAGGCCGCAAAAGGGGGGCGGCACTCGGAAACCATTCCGAACGTCAAGAGAGGGGCGGTCGCCTGTGTGAAGGGCAGGACCACAGCCGACATTGGCGGGGGTGGCACGGGGACTGGTTACCCCGGCGGCCCCCGGTCGGCATCGTGGCGCGAGCCCGCGACCTTTGCTGTGCCAGGTTCGGGGGAGAGGGAAATTCGGGGAAGGGACCGACGCCCGAGCTTACCAAGAGCACAGGACGGAGCCCAAAACCCCAAAAGACACCACACACCCCGGACGTAAGAACAGGGACAAAAGAGCAGAGCAGCAAGGACAGAAGGGAAAGCAGCAGGGAGAGCGCCGCAACGGTGAGGGAGGGAAGAGATGCGGCCATGGGTGTCCCCCTATAGTTGTCGGCGCGGTCCCTCAGCCAACACGACCGCAAACAGGGCCCCTCCTGCGCCACGCCCAGGGAGAGGACGCCCTCCGCACGCCCCACCACCCACGCCCCGGTAAAAGCCTCACTTTCTCGCGGGTGGAGGGCGGGGAGCAACGGGCCCCCAGCCGCCAACCCCGCTGCACCGCCTCTTGCCCCCGCGCCGCCGGCCGGCCCCGAGGGCGGCCTGCTCGGGCCGGCTCCGGACCCGAGGGGGACCCGCGCCCGCCTAGACCGCGTTCCAGCCCAGCCCAGCACGCTCGGCAGGGGGTGGGAGAGGGCCGCGCGTTGGCGGGCCAGGGCAGCGGGGATGTCGCGGCCACGGCTTGCCGCCGCCGCCGCCCGCCGACACCCAAATGAAGGTGGACCCCTGTAGTTGTCGGCGCGGGCCGACTCAGCCCACACGACCGCGGGCAGGGGCCGTTCGGCCCCGGGGGCCAGGGAAGGCAGCCCTCCGACGGCCCCGGCAGCCAGGCCCCCCAAAGCCTGCCCCGCTTTCGGGGACGGGAGCCGGAGAGGCAGGGGCTTCCTCACGGCGGCGGGGCACGCCCGCGCCCGCCGCTGCCGCCTCCGCCCCGGCCCGAGAGGGCGCAGGGGGCAGGAGAGCCCAAGCCGCCCGCCCGGAGGGCGAGGCCCAACCAGCAGGGGGACCCCGCACCGCCCGTGCAAGGCCCCCGGCCCCGACGGCGAACTCGACGCGCTCCCGCAGCTGCCGAAGGTGGTCCCCCCTATAGTTGTCGGCGCGGGCCCTCAGCCCACACGACCGCGGGCAGGGGCCGCTCGGCCCCGGGGGCCAGGGAAGGTAGCCCCTCCGTCGGCCCCGGCAGCCAGCCCCCCGCTCCCGGCGGCGGGGGGCACGCCGCGCCCGCCGCCGCCGCCTCCGCCCTCGGCCCGAGAGGGCGCAGGGGGCAGGAGAGCCCAAGCCGCCCGCCCGGAGGGCGAGGCCCAACCAGCAGGGGGACCCCGCACCGCCCGTGCAAGGCCCCCGCCCGGCCCCGACGGCGAACTCGACGCGGGGCTTGCCGCCCACCCGCCCGCAGCCGAGGCAGTCCCCCTGTCGTTGTTGGCGCAGGCCCTCAGCCACACACGACCGCGCCCAGGGTCCGCCCTCGCCCGTCCGGCCGGCCGGGGCAACGCCCCGTCAGGGGTGCGGCAGGGCCACGCCCGAATCCCACGCCGCCGCCCTCGGCCCGAGAGGAAGGAAGGAAGCCAAGGAAGACGTGGCTGAACGGCCTCGCTGGGCAGGCCGCCGCCCGCTCGCTCGCTCAGGCCAGGCGGCGGCACGGGGGAAAGGACCGAGTGGGAGACGCGCGGCCGCCGCCACACAGCAGGCCAGGGGCGGCGCTCGGCTCCGGCGGCCCGCGCTCCCAGCCCCGCTCCGCAACCCGCGAACCCCGCACCCAACCGCCTCTCCCTATATTTGGCAGCGCAGGCCCGCAGGCAACACGACCAGAGACAGGGCCGTCCATCCGTCCGGCAGGAGCGGTGCCTGGCGGGCGCTTGGGGGGGACCGCCCGCCCGCCCGCCAACCCCGCTCGCTCGCTCAGGCCAGGCGGCGGCACGGGGGAAAGGACCGAGTGGGAGACGCGCGGCCGCCGCCACACAGCAGGCCAAGGGCAGCGCTCGGCTCCGGCGGCCCGCGCTCCCAGCCCCGCTCCGCCACCCGCGAACCCCGCACCCAACCGCCTCTCCCTATAGTTGCGGCGCAGGTCCGCAG